GTAACAATATGAAATTCATTATTGCTATTTAGTTATAGAGGCTAAATAGTTCATTGTTGGTTTAAACCGTAATTCTAATATTAAAACCAGTAGTTAACATGTAATTTTGACAAGCATTGTTCTATCAATTAATATTTTACTCATATTGTGAATTTATATTATTTTTTGTTCATGCTTACTCATCCAAGGCACCTGATCCCACCTCTTAAGTTTTAGAGGTCCGGATTTGCTATATATAGATGGAGATTTGAGCTGGAATACTGTTTGCTATCTCATTTTTTCTGTTACATTTTACAGGATTTTTGTATCACGACATTAGGAAATAACAAACAGTAATGAAGCTTAAAGTCAAGTTCAAGCAATACAGATCACAAGCAGAGGAGAAACAGCCTCTTTTCATCTCAGAATGGAAGGATATATTTTCCATCGCCTGTCATGAGCAGAAAAACTCTTTACAAGTATGTGCATACAAAACCCCAAGGTTTCAAAGGAATTAGGCATAAGGAATTTCACATTTCGTTGTCTTTCATATTAAATGTATTTGCTTACTTTTCTGTTGAATTTTACTTACATACTTATCAAGAAAAATTACACCAGATTAACTTAAGAATTCAAATTTTTTATACCATTAAAATATAGCTATTCCTCATCTGAAAGATGTTTTAATATATACAAATTAGTGTACAATCACACCTATTCACAATGGTAGTGCTCGCAATCAACACGTCTCGAAATATGTATATTTGAGACAACACGGACATAAATGTTTGTTGTGAATGCTTAATGTTATTCTAGTGTGCTTTTTTGGAATAGATTGAAAACAAGATTTAAAAAAATAGTTTTTGTTTCTATTGAACGACAATGACAGGAATTTCCTTAACCTCACCTGTTTCGACTTGAAGCTGAACCAGACATAAATCGAGAAATAAGAACGTGTTAGTTGTTTATACATAAGTTTATATATAAGTCTTCATAGAAACTGAAGTGTAAACGAATGTGATATAAAGGCCAACATCTTAACAAAATGAATATTATAAAAATCAGGAGATGAATATTATTTCATTTAATTGTCCTACACATCTTTACAGAAACATTTTGTAGTAAATTATGTGGAAACAGGTTTGTTTCTATTGCTTATGTCGATGCATAGATCACAATTGGTTTAAAATGATCATATAAAACAATGTCTTTATCTCAAAGTGGCTTATTTTAAATGTTTACAGATGCTGTGATAACTTTTACCGAGGTCCGGACGGGGATTGTCTTGGTGAGCTCAGTTATCTTCTATATTTGTTTACCTAAAACATACAAATAAAAAAAGAATCATAATCATTTTTATATTTATTTATAAAAACGTTATCATTTAAGCTTATATGTACATTAGGGAAGGAAAAATTCAACTATTTCTAAGCCACGTTTTTTTCTTATCTTCATTTTGCCATAACAAACTTTGTCCACTACCCTTTACTAACCTTATACAGGCATCAAAACAGACAACGCCTATCAACTTTTCTGTTACGCACCTTTTATTTCTATTGGGTACTGACATTACATAAAAACCTTTCAGGAAAGGAGAGTCGTTTATTTCACTTATATACTGATATTGACAACACTTAATGTGCAGAATCAAACTTCTTTAGAAAGGAAATACTCTTTAAGACAGGGTTATAATAGAAGTGAAAATCAGTGGGGGATTCTAAAACATGCAAACTTACCTCCTCGCAGCACTGTATAGAGGATTATATTTGCCCTTTCACACTTGCAAAGAAATTTTTTCTGTCTTTGTCAGAAATAATTGTACTAGGGTCAAGATCTAGTAAATAACTTTAGACTAACTTTTTGGTGCTAGATCCATTATGACGTCATAATCACTTTCAACTTTCTTTTCCTGGGTTTATGACTTTAATAGAATTATGTAGAAAATAAAGTATTTTCATGGAATTCAATTTGAAATAACCTGAAAGAGTCCGGATACCTATATTCAATTAACATTATTTAAAAGAAGAGACCAAGAACATACAAATTACCGTTTTCTGAAAGACTGTAGGCAATCTGGATACATTTTGTATGTGTAATATGGAAAAAACTCCCATATTCATGACTAATTTTCTTAATTTTTCATTGAAAATAACAGTTTAAGGTATGGCTTTTCATCTTATTTTCCTACAAATTATGCCCCGAAACACCCTTTTTGACCAAGCTAAAGTTATAAAGCATCATTAAAGGAATTCATTTCTTGAATTTGATAAATCTGTAGGTCCTTCATTTACTAGATCTTGACCTTAAGAGAGAATGATGTCTTCCTTGAAGTTGTCCTGTTCTAAATTTGCTTGTTTGCGATATGGGCAAAGGGAACGAAAGTAAAAAGGGGACAAGAAATTGTGTACAGCGTTTTCAGAATGGCTTTTCATCACTAAGATTTCTAATTTCAGTGGTTAAAAACTTTTACCTTTGATTATAAAGAATCAACAGTTAGAAATCCCATGTGTGCTTTTAAGTTTTAAATTTTTTTCTGTGACTAAGTTTTGCAAAAAAATCTGTTTAAACTCGGATTTGTACAAACATATTCTCTTTACTTCACCTTTAAAACACCTTGTATTTCCTACATCGACCATTGCTTCCAAACTTTTCAATTACAAAAACACTTTACATGGCCTGGATACCGAGTATCTGAAACGTAATCCTCCTTTGTGTTCATGTTCTTTTTCGCCCTTTAACTATAGTCCTGCAGGACACGTTATTACAGGTGACGTAAATATAGTTAATAATGAGAACCTTAAATCACTTATTTTAAATGTTTCTAAATAAAGGAAGCCCCATCCTTCAACTTGCGTAGGAATTTCATAAATATTATGGATTCTGTTGAAAATTACTCCAGACGACGGGCCAGATATGAAAAAGAGGAGGTTGACACCTTGTCAGTATGGATTAAATGTATCAGATTCATGTTAAGGTCACGTATTAAAAGTTTGAGGGGCAATATGAAAACCATCTATCCTTCTGTGTTCAATAAACCAGAAGTGAAAAAACAATGACATGATCAGTACGTACTGGTTCCTGTCGACAAAGCAGGTAACAACAGTGTCTTTGTTTGTAAGGCTCATTAAAGAAATTGTATTCTAGAAGAACTACCGTGTGCTAATTGTCATGGTCAGGAATTAACTGGAAACATCGTCGTCAATTCAGTGAATGAATAATGGATTAACAATTAGTTTGAAAAACGCCAGTCGGCATTTGACTTATTGGTAAATTGTATTTGCTGACAAGGTCATTGTATCGATCACAAAACTCACAAAAATGATGGTTTTAAACGAAACTAAAAAGTTTATATTCTTGTAACACCAACGTCTTTGATACAACTTGTCTCGTCTCAGAAATGGGAATTTAGGAGTGTTTGCCTTTGCGTATCAAATTCGGTGAGAGATAAAAAAATCCTAAGCCTGTATCCAGGTGATGATTGTTTTTGCTGCCACCGTAATGTTAATTGAAGAATGAACAATTTAAGACGTCACGTTTATTATACAGCTTTGTTGTTAGATTACCATTAACGTCTATATCTTGTAAAATATCCAAATACATGTATGAGAAAGATGTGTCAAACTTTGTGGTTTCCTTTTTTCTAAATTATTGGGATAAATTACATATAGATTATTAGATAGTGATTTGAAATAGCCATTAGAAATTGACAATACGTGGTTGATATATCTAAATGTCGATTTATGGACCCAGTTAGTGCTCTCTTCTTGCTTTGTGTGCGATGTCGGGATTCGCCGTGTTATTTAAGTTGATTAAATAGTTATTAATATATGTATTAAATAAACAAAATCACCCAAAGCAAACACACAATCTCTTAAAATAAAAAGGAGCGTAATGTACTGGAAGGAAACTAATTGGGTTCACACCCACTTTATACAGGGTCGAAACAAATTGCAGAAATATTCTCAAAAACTATCAACGTTGACCAATTATTTTTAATCGGCATTTGAGCATGAATACTGTTCGTTATCTCAATATATTTCATGTTCTTCCTTAATCCTAAGCCATAAAAATAGTAAACGGCACCATCCGCTATGTAAATAAGTTTGAACTGAAACTCGTTATCAATTACAAAGGGAAGAGGAACAAATTTCGGAAAATGGGAAGTGTTGATTCAGGTTGAAATGTGGGACCTGTTCTGCAAATACCTATGACTTTTATGTTAATGTCGAGTTCTAATCAGTTTCAAAGTATCGTAATGGAGAAAATAAGGAGACTGATATGGTGTAATTTGGTTGTCTTGCACATCTGTGTAAAGACTGGTTTAAGTGCAAAATGTGGAAACAGGTAAGTCTAAATTTGAAAGAATACTACAAGAGTGTTGTTTGTGATTCATGAATAATGCAATATGACAAAGTCTTTCCTTTAAATATTGTCTTTTCTATACTTTTACAGCTGCTGTGTTAATTTTTACCAAATTTCGAGCGGCTCCTGCATTGGTGAGAATAACACGAGTGTAAATTTTTAAATACTGTCTACACAAGAAAAATTTCACCCCTATTTAATTTTGTCCCTTTCGTCCTATTCATGTTTGGGCGAATTTAAAACGGGAGAAATTCAAAGAACACAGCATATTGTTTGAAAGGGCGGAAATAACACAGAGCGAAAAAAAAATCTTGTATACTTAAGGAATCTTACTGTCTAGTTAGGAGGCTATGCCAGTGCATCAACAATAGTGGGAAACATGGGATAACTAGACGGTGATTCTTTATATTTCCATTTTTACTTGAAATAACAGTCTTAAAATAAATCGGAATACCGTCTAATTTAGTAGATTTGAAATAAATGAGGCATTCCATGTTATTCTCCATAGCCCCGCCCCATGACGTCAAATGTTACCATTAAAAATAGTCCCATAAAACACGAACCAACAATAACCAAATTTAATGATTATTTAGCTGCTGTAGCCAAATATCATAGAATAAACAATAAAATTTTAAATTATGATCAAAGCAATCTTGTTTTATTATATATGTGACCTAGATTTAGGTTGTCGGAAGCAAGAACACGTGTGTAATTACCTAGTAAACAATTAAACAAAACATCTATTTTTTCTTCAGTGTATTTATACGCCAGTCATATACCATACGTATACATGCATGTTGACATTTGTCCTTTCAGTAGTTTTTCAATATAGAGAAATGTACATGCTACATGAATTACGAAAAAATTAACAAGATTCACTTTTGTAGTGTTTATCATTTGTAAAACAATTGGAAATGGAACTATTGTAATTCAAATCTGGTTGTAACAAACTCTTTGATTGGCTGAAAATTGAATTTATATAGTATAACCTGGGATGTCAACATCAAAATGCTTGTATTAAAACGTCAATCCGATTGACGTAACATAAGTTTACATAAAATGCATAATAAACTTTTTAAATAGAAGACCTCTTCTTTTTAGGCTGAGAATAAGATAGGAATGTTTATATATCATGGCATCATTTACATAAAAAACTAAGTTTGTTGTTGTCTTGTTCCGGGGTGGACCAACTTTTATCATTTTACCCGGGGAAAAAGGTTTTCTGGCAAGCATTAAAATAACAATTTTTCACTCCAACTTTGTAGCCCTTTAAGACCCCGATATCTTTATTGTAGAGTGTCCCTTGGGGACTCATGGAGTTAACTGCACGGGAAAATGTGTCAGAGGGTTTTACGGAAAACTCTGTCAGTCACATTGCGACTGTCCTGCTGAAAGTTGTAACGCAAGCTATGGCTGTCTAAAGGGAATTACTGGTAAATTCAACGTAATTAACGTTATTAAGTTATCTATGTCTTTAAAATGAGAGTGTGTGTTGTTCTATATAACATTGCTTGCACATTATCACAGCTAATTCAAATAAATCGTCAAAATTGTATGAAATTTAATTCACATTCCACTTAATAAAGTAACATTTTTTCTTCCACAATCTTTCTACGTAATACTAATCGAACATTTTGATATTGATGAACAAAATTAAAATATTGCTACTCATGATAAATTACAAATGTATGTTACTTCTTATACAGTTGATAATTTTGTATTCAGAGGAAGGTAAAGGCAGCATCAATGAGTGGGTTGACTTCACGTATGCTTTGATAGGATCCGTTACCACAGTTTCTATGAGCCTAATTTGTCTGCTGTTTTTTCTTAAGTCATGGTAAATATAAATAATGAATACTGAAATATTATACAGTGTTTTCCTTAATTAAAACTAAAACTGAGGAAAAAAGATAGTATATTAATTCATTTTATCCTTTTAATTAGATTTTTTTTTGCATTTGTTGTTATGAAAAAGGATTAGTTATTCTTAATGTTTTGTATACCTTTCCTGTAGGTTATCAAAAACAAATGTGTCATCTACGGAAACAAATCAGCTTTGTACAGATCAGACTGGTATGATCATGAAATGTTAAAAAAGTAAAAAAAATTTACCAGTAATAATTCTTAAAAATATCACTGATAAATAAATATTCGTGATTGACATAAAATAAAACTGTAATTGTAATAATTAAATCTTACTGACACAATTTTTAAATATTTCTCTGACCTGTAGAAAGATAACAAAAAATATTTTTTTGTTATTCATAAAACTAATGAACAAAAGTAACACTTCGTGTTCAACAGATAATCCAGGAGAGCATGACAATGAAAGTCGCAGTTCATCGTCAAATGCGAATGAACCTGTTCTGCAGAGAACACCAACTCATAGCTACACAGGTCTGAGGTTTTCAAGAATGCAGCCTCTTTATGACAACTCAAAGGACTATGAAAGTGTCCCGGAACAAGATACACCATCTGTTGATTCTCTTCCATCTCACAAACTTAGGAATGATGACGATGGTGAAAGCAAAGGAGATGGCAAATATGAAGGATTGTTTAAAAATAAAGCGTACAATATTCTCTCTCTCCGCATACATCCTCTTGACAAAGCAAAGACCCTGCGATCAGTTGATTCTTCAATTAATCTTTGGGACAATATGGACGGAATGGAAGATGAATACGAATCGATCGAAGTGAAGGAGGATAACAAGGAGGAATGTGTGTCTGAGAGGAGGATGGTTAAAATTCATCCCACTGGAAAATACGTTTGTGGAGAATATTCAACAGATGGAACTTTGAAAGATTATATAGGAAATGCTCAAATGAATAAAAATTGTGACATGATAGTTGATAAGGAGGCGATATCACAAAGTTTTATCGCCCATGAGCTTGATTGTACCAAAAGTTTCTCTCCACGACCTTATAGCTTAGCAAATAGTATCTGGCGTAAACATCACACTTCTGAAATGTCGAAACAACTTAGAATATCAGATTATGAAAAAGTTTTAACATTACAGACAGGTGAAGAAAATTTTGTAAATGATAGAATATTCTCAAAGACTGATACGCAAATTATCACTGAAAGTTCTGCTGACCCAATGATGTCGGAAGTATCAGGGAATAATGAAAATAAAAATCCACTAAAGCTCAATAAAAACAAAGCAATGATTTTCAAGGAAGCATATGAAAAAAAGTATTAATTCAAAAATGCATATAAATCTCTTACAAGAGGGAAGACAACAGATCCAACCTTGATCCTTTAGATGAACACAGGTGTAGAAACATTGTAATGACTCCAGTATTCTGAAAATAAAGCTGTAAAATGAGTACTTTTTATAAATTACAGCAGAGGAATTAATAAATTTAATATCACATTAAAATATAATCAAAATATGCTGATTTTGTTTGTTTGTTAGAATGTTGTCTCTTGAGAATTTTTTTTTACTCACATGGAGAGGCCACCACTTCCAGGTGGAGAACCTTGCAAATTTTGTCCAATACTTGGCGTGATGACTTTAACTTTTCTATCGCCAACTTCCCTTACTTATGCAGCAATATACCTTCATCACCTGCATACGGAGTATATATATCTCAGTTGATTCAATACGCAAGAGCATGCTGTACGTATGAACAATTTCTAAACTGAGGTATATTATTGACAATCAATTTGATGAAACAAGAATATCAGCAGTTTCGTTTAATGTCATCATTTCGTAAGTTCTATGGTCGATTCAATGACCTTGTCAGCAAATACAATTTATCACTGAGTTAAATGCTGACTTTTTTCGTACCAATTGTTAGTCCATTTTTTATACACTGAATTGATTTTTTCCCTTATTTCCTGATCATGACAAGGAGCACACGGCGGGTGTGACCGGTCGGCAGGGGATGCTCACTCCTCCATGGCACCTGATCCCACCTCTGATGTTTCGGGGGTCCGTGTTTGCTCTGCTCTTATTTTGTATTGTTTTATGGACTTTGAGATTGAATACTGTTCGTTATGTCCATATCTTTCTTGGCACATACAGCTATTGAACGGGAGGGACCTTTTTTCATGTCAGTACCTACTGCAACACGAAATCTCAGTTTAAACGGTCTTACCCGAAAGACCCGATCGCCACGTAAGCATCACTTCCTAACATTTTGATTCTAGAGCACATCTAACCACTGCCCCACTCGGGCGACAGCTATATTTTGAAATTTTATAGGATTTGCAAGCAGAAATATTAAATTAGACATGCACTACATTTATATTTCTGTGTTTATTTATATTTTCCACATACTGTGAAATTATTAACGGTTAAGCTTTATTTTGTTTAATTTTATAAAAAAAAAAATATAAAAATACAAGCAGTTACCAAGTTTAAAATCCATTGAAGTAATGTAAATCGGAGACGAGTAAGGACAGACTCTTATTTATATCCAAATGAAATTCTTTATTTTTCCAGGGTCTCTTACTAAAGAAAATAAAAGATTTATCATTTTGTTGTGTTTTATATTTAAAATATGTATTTACTTTTCTGGAATATTTTATTCATAGAATTGTTTAGAATACCACATAATAACAAATAGTCTAACATATCTGTTTCATACTTGGATATTTTAATTGAAAAAGTCGCTAATGGTTATTTGGCAACCAGGCATCTGGCAACAAAGCTTTATGATAATCGTGATGACATTTCTATCGTCAACTTTCTTTACTTATGCAGAAATATACCTTCATCACCTGCATACGGGGTGTATATATGTCAATTGATTCGATACGCAAAATCATGCTCTACGTTTGAACAATTTCTAAAAGGAGGTAAATTATTGATAAGGAAGTTGATGAAACAGGAATATCAGCAGTCTCGATTAAAGTAATCAGTTCGTAAATTCTATGGTCGATATATTGACCTTGTCGGTAAATACAATTTATCATTAAGTTAAATGCTGACTGACGATTTTCAAACTAATTGTCCATTATTCATACGTTGAATTGACGACGGATTTGTGTGGCACAAAACATTAAACTGTATAATGGCATATCGTGCATCTATGAACTCAATAAAGAACAAGATGCAAGTCACCGGAGCTCTCACATGAAACATTTCTTCTTGATCATTCCACCGTTTGTATTTTTACAAATGCTAGAGGTCTTGTGCTGAAGGCATGCTGACGCCTTCAGAATAAAGCTAGAGTTAGAAATTTTGCAGTTCTTAATTCATCGGAATGATCCATTGACCGTACCTGTGATTTTTAGGGATATATCCTGGCAGATCCTTGGAATATGTCAACAGGAAACAGGAAATTACCAGGAAGCCCTGAATTCATTCCAGCAATCCCTTAAGGAATATCCCTTCCACGGGATTCGACAAGCTACGTGTGAGAGAATTCTGAAACTCTTGCCATACACTTTACGGTCAGTAGACCAATTATAGCGATGCATTCAATGACAATTGAATGTGTGTTAGAAGACTTTGTTTAGTTCTGATAGTATTGTAACGTTTAAAATAATTTATGCCAGTATGTTAGCAATAGTTTGTTATCCTCTATGAACATCTCAACTGTGACACACCTGGAATATCGTCCACTTTCTAATGATTTTTTTAATCCCATAATTGCAAATGAAAAATTAAGTGGATCGAGCTTATTAGGCATTAGTATAAGAGTATTTAAATTTGCACATTTGTTGTGTTAATCTGCTATACCACCATTGTACGAAGGCTGATCAAAAAGCCCGCGATCTATCTCTTTATTTACAAAACCACTATTCAGGTCAGAGTAAAATATAGCACAAATTAAAAATGATCAAAACGATGTCTTAAAAAAAAGCAGATGCTACGTAACGTTTGTTTCATTTTTGTGACGTCACAGTATGAAAATGACATCAATATGTAGGTGACTTGTGACAAGAAATGGAGGACTCATTCGTACTAAAGCAACGAAAGGCTGTGTTCATGTAATGTATATCTTGGAAATTCCTTTGCAGTAACATATGATGTGTACAAGGTTTATGAAGTCAAAAGTATCTTTAAATGGTGGCTAGAAAAATAATCAGCACTTTTCAAAATGGAGCTGCAGTAAAATATCATATGCTGAATTCCTTTTAGAAAGGCGTGAAAAGTCGACTTTCTTCTTGAAGTTGGATGATCTTTCAACCTGATTATATTGTCTTTATCTTTTGATGAATACAACCCAAAAAGCAGAAAAGAATCTCAAATTATACGAACAACCAATGCAAAGATGTTTTTATGTTTCAAATATTTACTTGCTTTTGGAATAACATGAAATTGTTATTCCGTGAAAACCACTGTTGACTAAGGCGAAGCTAAGGTCAATAGTGTTTTTAAGGGATGATACAATTTATTTTATGATTAAATACCCTAATTCTCTAATTAGCTTAGATTCGATATTGTGCAAGAGGAAATCATGCAAACTCAACTATATTCACTTAAGCAAGACTTTCAAGGTGATTTGCTTTTTTACATTGCATCAAAATCAATCGAGAACATTCAAATTGTTAGATATGAAAAGTTAAGGTCACGTGCAACTAACCAAACAAAACATTAGTATTTGATATGGTATATACCGTATCAACATCTTTAATAGAACACGTAAGGATGAAGGTAAAAACTTTCTGTAACCGAGCAGTAACAAGACCAGGTCACTTTTAAATCTTTATTAACAGCAATAAACGACAATGGCATGTGTCTATAAAAAGAATATACATAAATTATAACAAAATAAAATGAAAATAATAAATTATGAGAAAAAATAACAAGTTATGAAAAAAGAAAAGCATTTCAATAGCAAATACCTTTACGGACAGCACGGCCTCGAGAAGTGTGACCTTGAAAAACTGGCTGGCGGGACAAGTAATTTCAATCGAACATGAGTATTTATACCCAGACCAACTGCGCAAGTGGATTGAGTTGATTTTAAAAATACGCCAGTCAGGAATGAGATTACAAAGAGTGGTTCGACAAAAGCCTTTACAAAATATAAGAATCATACTCACTAAATTCAATAATCAAATAAGAAATAAGTTAACAAAAGTGAGTACGGTATTAGCCTAAATAAATATATGAATTAAAATATGTAATTACTATAGTACTTGGTCACACACTCCCCGGCCCAAAAAAATTGGGCTGTCCTCAGCACAAGTAATAATGTAGGTAATATATCATCACCTGAAAAGCAAAACGACGCAGCTTTTACGTGCAAAAATATATACAAAAATCCTTTCCCAGACACCTGCTAAATGCAACATGGCTCATTCAATTGTTACCATAAATAATGCCTGGAAAAATCAGAATTTAATGCATTAAATCTGAAAAACATTCAAAATCATAACATATAATACATATCACTCTCAACGTTCACTTTCATAGAACAATATATTCCAGAAATATAGATACATCACAAAGAAAATTTCCTGATTTCGGATCGATTCACAACTTTTTCAACACATGGGTTTTTCACTTGTGCAACACGAAACACAGAAGAATTTTGATAAGGAATTCCAGTAACCACGTAAGGAACATCACTCCAATTATCCTGAATTTTATGACGTTTCCGGAAGTTACGATTTCTAAGATACACATTGTCGCCAACGGAAATTTCTGCATTTGTGATGCGTCTGTCATGGGATTCTTTCCTCGTCTCTGCATTTTGTTTGGTTTCTTGTAGTGCACGTTGATACGCAAACTGAATTTTTTCTTTATGCTGTTGAATCCATCTGTCCAAGTCCTGTGATTGACTTCTGTAATCGTTCCCCGTTGGTCTCCGTAGTTTGTAGTCGTTCAGTCCTCGGGATTTACGTGCTTTCCCATTGCCGTTTTAAGTGACTGCTCGCAGCGCCATATGTAACCGAGCAGTAACAAGACCAGGTCACTTTTAGATCTTTATTAACAGCAATAAACGACAATGGCATGTGTGTATAAAAAGAATATACATAAATTATAACAAAATAGAATGAAAATAATAAATTATGAGAAAAAATAACAAGTTATGAAAAAAGAAAAGCATTTCAATAGCAAATACCTTTACGGACAGCACGGCCTCGAGAAGTGTGACCTTGAAAAACTGGCTGGCGGGACAAGTAATTTCAATCGAACATGAGTATTTATACCCAGACCTACTGCGCAAGTGGAATAGTGGATTGAGTTGATTTTAAAAATACGCCAGTCAGGAATGAGATTACAAAGAGTGTTCGACAAAAGCCTTTACAAAATATAAGAATCATACTCA